ATAAAGGACTTTAATTAGCATGTGCATTTTATAACTGGCGCCAGCCGCAATAGATAAAAAAAATGAATAACTTTTCTACCTTAAAAACGCAGGAACATTCTGATTCTCTTCGTTAGTTAAAACATAGTTATCAGTAAAGATTTGACCTCTGACATCCAAAATAGTACCTTAAGATTAAACCAATCAAAATTAATTTGGTTATGTACAAGTCACGTGCAAATTCAAAAACAAAAAATCTCTTTTTGCCACGTTTGATGAATAATGACTAATAATACTTTCGTTCAAATATCTGAAATATTGGTCTATTTCCCCCCAATAAATATATGTGATCGAACTTGCCATCACAAGAAGGCAGACATTCTACAACAATATAGAAGTTATAAAAACAATTTTACTTAGTACCTGGCACGATGATCGATGGTGTTACTGAAAGAATTTTCGGCGACCTGTCTAAGGAATACTGTAAAAAAAAAATACATTCAAGATATCAACTACACGCATGTATATCATGATTTTTACTCTTATGTAAAACAGCGCCCTCTGTTGACGAATTGGTAAAACCGTGTGTCCCGTTGGATATTATATAAAAAAAATCGCTCCTCCGCCAAATATTTGAAAACAACAATTTGAAGCATTTTTTGCGAGGCCTAACATACCGTGAAAGTGCAATATTCCATATCGTCACAATATTGTCCCCCAATATCTTCAATGAATACTCCGTCGACCGCCACACGGATTGTATAGCTTCCTGGGGATGCTCTTCTGTATCACGACAAAGAAACACACAGCATAGAATAATTAATAACTTAGCATAATGCAGGAAATGTTACTACATCCAGTAAAACAATGCTCGATAAATTATTTTAAATTCCGACGTCATCATTGATGATATCGTCGAAAGATGTATTCTGATATAATCGACAAACTTCAAAACCGTATTTCCCTGACTGCCAAGGAGTGAGTGAATATACCCAGACGCCTATCTTCACGGAGTGTCCTCCTGTGAACGACGTCGATACACATGCACAACTAAATAAACCCCGTTTCTCACCAAGTGTGAATTATTTAACGGTCGATAATTTTGGGATCAACTTTCACCAATAATCAATAAGTCAGCGAATCTCTGTTCTGAGCAATAATTCAAACTATCTGACTGTTCAACTATTTGATCACGTGATTCTGAAGACACTCAAGTGTGGATATCCTCGGGGACGGACATCCGGGCATTTTCTACCGCCTGGCAACCCTCGCGGTGAAAACAAAGACCAAAAACTCACAGAAAACGGTACTTTGCGATGGTTGATGAGAGTCCCCTGAACAGTGTAACAAGATTAGCCCTACGTGTGTAACATATATGAATTTGGTTGTTCAGGGTTACTTCAAAGTTGAGTTTGTGTTGTTTTCTCGAGTTTTCACCGGCTCCACAGGCGTTCCACAGCAGCGCGCACAAAGCCCATAGAAATACGTGGTACAGTGGTGCGCGTCTTAGCAACGTAGAACGTCCGTGACGTAGCTCCGCCCCGAGGATACTCACATCAGGTTATTAACATACAAACAAATAATAATACCTTGTGTCACAAACAATACGATTATCGGTTGAATAATACATATTTACATCACATTGGATCGATGACGTCATTGATGCTAAGAATACCATGTTGCCAAGGTGCTCATTTCCAGGACCAAAATTGAAAGGATTCGGGCTGAATCCTGGATAGTTGAAAACAGACACATTCAATTAGAGTGAACAAAATGTTTGCGAGATTAATTTAATAACAACCGTTGTAAATAACGACCAAGCGAAATTAGAAACATTTTTCATACAACATATGTAATGAATATGTAATCTTGGTTTATTTTCGACTATTTATTGGAAAATAAATTCCTTACATTTGATTCTAGATAAAGTGTATCACTTATTTGCGATTTGTACGTAATATACCATTTTCGTAGTTGTAGCCACATGTTTACACTAAGCTAAAGTTTTCAGTTTAACACTGTGATAAATTCTTTCGGTTTCACGGAGAATAATACATTGATTTTTACCAGGTAAATTATAATTATTAAAGTTATTGTTCATACATGAGTTGTTGGACACACTACATATTTTATTCAGCTTCTTTCAGTCACATCATGATACTTTCAAGACAAAAAAATGTATAATATAGCAAATTATCGTGTAATCGGTAATTATGAAAATTATTATTGGGGTGTATTTGGAATACATGTTCTTAATATATTTCTGAATTCTTTTATTAAAATCAGTTGTTTTCATTAAAAAAAATAATTTAAGTTGCGAATACCGAGGTCGATTTGTCTTCAAAAGACGCCACCAATGCAGTCACTGTCAGCACGGACTTTTTAATAACCGTGCTGTCAGCTCCGGCCATTTCTGATCGTGGAAGATGTTCTAAAGACACATTTTCACTGAAGGGCCGTAAAAACTAGACATCATGAACATTTTGGGCAAAACAAAGTAAAAATTTCAATAACATTATTGATATATGTAGAGTGGTTTCGTTATAGAGACAGAATTATAATGGTGGGAAAATCTCTCAACGTCTCAAAATAAAACACTATGAAAACGTGCAAATTATGGCATAGATCGTAATGTTCTTACTGGTTAGCGTATTCAAAGTCAACTCTGAATCATGATATCTTGGGGATAATATCTAAATTTAGATTTTACAAATGTGCACACCTCCGAAAAAAAGGTCGAGAGAAAAATACTTTTCGTTAAAATCTGAAAAAGTTGTAAAATATACAAATATGCTACAAGCTATTCGTTTTGGTTATCATTTACCACGTATTCAGCCTCAAGCGAAGACGAATTGGTCGACTTTAAATGACAACAATCCCCTCGTTTGATTTATAATGGGCAACGTAGCAATATTTCAATTGACCTTACCTGACCCTTCTATTGTGATTTCTGTTGCGCCCCTGACGCTACCAGATACCGGTGAAATCTTGTCAACTTTTGGTCCATTGCCCTCAACAGAAAGCGACACTGTCAAACAAAAACGACTTTATTTGAATATCTACAGACACTAGTAAGTGATTACGGCTTGAAATTTATGTATTACTAGGAGTAGCACTATTCAAAAATACAATGTCACAATTCTGATGCTCTGTGTATACAATTACGTTTGTAAACTTTAACTTTTTACTGGCATCGCGAGAATAATCCACTAGGCAATGTTGCAATTCACATCATTGTTTTGCAACATTAATATACATCTAGCAGTATTGCTTATCAATTAATCAAGCTTAAACAAAAAAATGCAACAATGTATTATGTCCATAGTCTAAGAGGTACCACAATTCACGACACCCTGGTACATTCCATTATCATTTCAGGGAGAGCCAACTGCTCGAATTCAAAACACACCCGGCAAAATAAGCATTTTAACCTGAAATTGAACCAGCTTGTTGAAGTCATTTTATTTTGCAAAATTGCTGATCACGTGGATGTTACCCCCTTTATGTACACCTTTATTATCCAGGAATGTACACCAATCCACGCGTACAAGCTGAATCAGTAACCCCCACACTGAATGAGCTATTCCACTGATGTTTACGTTTGTATACAGACTAAATATGCGTGTCCTAACGCACACTCGTGATTACTACTTTCTGACCGAATATTAAAAGACAAGATGCGAATAACTCAGGGAAAAGCGAGAAATGACAATTTCCCCGATGTTAGACGGTCTATGCGGATGTATTACTTTTATCAATTACAAGTTTCCGGCAAATGATTTCATGCTTTCATTTAAATGTCTAATATGTGTAGTGTTCCTGCATTTCTCGAGTGAACTACTCGGAGCGATTTGGGCATGTTTACTGGGATAAGAAAACAGTGTTGCAACAATTAGCTTGATTAATTGATAATCAATACTATTCAATGTATAGCAATGTTGTTTGCAAAACAACGATGTAAATTACAAGATTGCCTAGCGGATTGTTTTCGCGATGACAGTAAATGGATATTTGTATAATATGACGATTTTGGAATATTGCTTTGCATATTTGTAATGAATGTATGTTTGTATACACAGCTTTACGACATTTGAATTACAAAATGTACTGGTAAGTACTATTATTTCAATGCGCATGCGTACAATTCTTCCACTTACTTATTCTATTCGTCCGCACCCTCGCACATTTATGTCGTAAGCGCATGCGTGTGATCTCTAAGTTTATGCGTTGTTATAGCAACGGCAGCAACAACAGAAGCAATTACAATAACAACAAAAACAACATTAGAAACGCGAGACTTGTCGATAATCAGTGGTACGGAAAATGCCTCTGAATGCCCCAAGCAAGTTGTTTCCAGGTTTCAACTTACATCACTCCTTCAAAGTATTTATTTGTTTTCGGTGAGTGTATGGACGGACGGTTTTATAAGAAAGAATTCCTGCACACACTCTATGATGCACATTTTTTCTTGTTCTTGTTTAATAACGTGGTAGAACACAGCATGGCTCAAAAGATAAAAGTGGCAAAATTCAAGTTCTACAGACCCCCTTCCAAAACATATTTTCAACATAATGTGCATCACGATGTTTACTTCGAAAACTGTTTGTTGGTGTTGTTGCCAAAAATCATTTGAAATGACTTGTTGTAACCAGATACATTTATTTTCTCAGTCCCTCTATCATAGAAATAATGAAACAATGGCATAGTGCCCATGAGCCGTGTATACCCACGCGAGCGACTGACTTACTGACTGATTGCACGAATTGGACCACTGCAATTTTGGTTTGATCTTGAATTCTGAACACTGATCAGGTGACGACGACCCCAATCAATGGAGTACAACATCACGCATGATGACCACACAGAGCCGCGAGGTTTAATTTACGTTCTAAGCCATTGTGTATTGTAAGTGCACAATGTAATACATGTGGTTGATTAGCGATGGCTTCAATCGTCAAGACTTGTACATATTGTATTTGTGCAGCCATGTACATGAACTGATACTGTGAATTATGGCCGTGGTTTGTCGGCCACTACAGTGATAACATTAAAGTCTACCAGGTGTATCAAATGCGGTAATTAAATACAGACACATTTTGTAGAACACACTCCTTGAGAGAAAAAAATGAACCCCGGCGAATGCAAACGCAGCCACACCCAGACCGCGGGACTGTTAAGTCTGTAAATTATTACGTGGAATCAATCATTTGTTATTTAATAAAATGTGCAGACGAGGAAAACTTTTGAATGCAGCGACATCGTATGTGAAACACTGATCCATACGGGAGAAATATCTCCATACTTTTAATATGTACGTCGGTGAACCACGGACAATACAATGCATATGCCTTGGGTTTTGAAGCTGTGCTCTAAGATCATTCATGCATTATCATTTCGAAATACTTATCTAATATGAATATGTGCAAATTGAAGGAAATATAAAAATTCACCAATAATCCGGAAAAGAAGCGTATCTTCGTGAATCTACAGTGCTTAGAATGAGATCTTGAGAATCACAAAACAGTTGTCTGTTCCTTTCCTTCTAAAGTTTATGGTGAATCCGATCGATTCAAAACGATGACCAATATTCGGACGTGAATTAAAATAATTGGAAATTTAACTTGTGGTATATATTTCCCACGATTCTCACACACTAGTATTCAGACCATAAAATACTTCACCGTAAGATCAGATGTTCAAGCTGCATGATTGTATTATAAAGGTAATACAGTGGTCCCTCGCAAAGTCGCGGGTGTCGGGATCCAAGCAAAACCGCCACTTATCAAGGGTCGCGACTTACCGAGGGGCCTCGTGAAACGGAAATGGCATGCATTAAAAACATATAAAAAACACATATAAACTCATGGGGATGTTTATAGTGTGTTTACTTTATTGAAAAAAACCCATCACGATCACAATTATTAAATACACAAGTTAATTGAAAGGTTAGAAACATATTTACAAATTATATGTTGTATCATCACATGTGATAGGCAGTATTCGAATAAAATTAGAACATGATTAGGTCGCTACTCACTTTGATTGAAAAAAAAAATAGTGATACTGGATTGACGTTGTTTTTGACCCTGCATTTGTTTACATGAGTCAATTAGTCCCTTTAATTGCAACGATAGCACTACTAGTCACCCCTTCAATAAATTATAAAGTCGTGTGAAGTCCATGCAACGCACCCGATGCTGTAGGTGGGTAACATCTTCCAAAATAAACCAACTTCGTCGCAATTATAATTTCTCTCAGTTTACCGGGAAAAGTTCTGACAGCGACCATGTCCGCAGATCGAGCTTCGCCATTGGATTGAGACTTCGCATAACTCTCTTTATGAACAAGAGTCCTTGCCGTAATTTTCAGAAACGAAGTATCACAAACATAAAATGAACGGACATTCAGATTTTCTTCAAAACAATAATTTAACCACCGTTACGTCCATGGTTCCATACTTAGTGGAAGTAAGTTCTCGTGACGATACCGCGACTAAAGCCATTTCATCATCCGCAATTCTAGACAACATTACTAGTTTATCGGAATCAATACAGTGTTGTGCTCGAGATTGTTTTTTCTATCATACATTCACTTCAGGTGTTAAGACGATGGCGAGTTTTCATTAATGTTATCAAAATTATTGATCAAATTGCTATCGATTTCGAATTTCAAACGCATAAACTCTATAAACGCAGACGGTTGAAAAGCCTGGACACGGTTGTAAAACAGTTGAATGATCTTCAAAACATCAAACAATTAATTCTCATTAATATTGTTGTCTGTGTGTTGTTTCTTTGTTATTTCTCTGTTCTACTTTTATTGCCAATTTCGCACATATGATTACGATTTCAATAAAGATTGGTATTATTATCAATGGATAAGTATTTCCGCAATGTATAGTAACTGAACGGAAAACTCGGGGTAGAGGTATGTGTACTTGGTCGCAATCTGATTAAAATCCGATGTAGGTATGGGCTCAATTAAAAATTGGAGCCTTATATCTACATTGGATTGTAATCAGAATGACGTGTTCATAACGTGAATACGTCAACGTATCGTATATAGGAGGAAACCTTCCCCAATCATCGTACGTGTTTAACAGTGCCAACTGTGCGTCATTTCCTTCAAATCATTTTGCTTCAACAGTCACGTAGATATAGAATGGCTTTCATACTAGATGCATTATGTAATTCGATAATTATATATCGTCTTATTAACAGAATATACACTTGATATTAAAATGGCAAAGATGCATTCGGCAAACGCTTTCTCATTTCACGCAACAAAACAAACACGATGTATTGGCCATTACACATAGTAATAGTGAGCTTATTTAAAAAATGCACCCTATTTATATATAAAACAGTTACAGTATATAGACTAGTATTTAAATTTGCAGTGTAAGATAATTCACAAAGATTTGTTGAACTCGAATGTTCGTAACTATCAATTTTATACGAAAGTCTGTTGCGCCAGCGAAATAAAAAACACCGAAACCAAAAATAAAATAAAAATTGTCTGTTTGTGGTCGGGTAGTGGACATATTTTCCCCTCGACAGTATCTTTACAAACTGTATCTTCAAGTTTTGCGAATTTGGTTTTTACCGATATATGCTGTGGTACTAGTAGTCCATTCCTGGTGCACCGCCAAGAAATAGTTAAAGGGTCTAGTCAAAGTGTGGTTTTGTTCATGATGACAGAAATAGTTTTAAAAACTTACCTGGAATCTGGCAAACGACGAAAATCGCAGCGATGAAATGTATTCTCATGATGAAGATCAGATGTGCATGTCTGGTGTACTTGGTGTATTGGGTTAAACTGGATTCTGATAAAATGTACAATTCAGTGTGATGTGTTCGGGATAAGGTACGCTGTGCTGGTATGGTTACGCGGAGTTACGTGATAGGTATTAAATATACTGTGCAGACAATGGATATTCAAATATTTATCCTGCGAAAGTTACAACCACAAACAAAAGAAATACTATTTCTGAGCCGCCATCGATATTTCTGACGACAGAGAAAATTGCTGACAAGCATTAGTTCATTTGAAACAATAATTTGCATGATAAAAAATACTTTTTGGCGAACTATTGTTTCCTTCAGACTATTACTAGTTGCTATCACCGTAGCATTAGTAACAGTTGATTTATTTAGATGTTTAAACAATAGAATAGTATTAAATCATATACCTTTTCTCTAGAGCCTATTGATAAATTGACCGATTGTTTGTGGCACGTAGGCCATACACTATGAGTCATTTGATAGACCTGAAAACAAAGTGTCACTCTGCCAATGACAGTATCACTCTAGCCTGACGATTCGCGTGAGTTGTGCTCTCCGCGGTGCTCCAAACCCAACACAGTGAGGTCTGATGCCGTTCGGCCGGCGAGGGCGCCACACACGCCTACATGTCAGGCTAAAGGAAAGGTTGATTGAACTTCAAAACAATAGTTAGTCGTCATTAATGAACTTTGGGTGAAGAACTGGTATGTCCGCAGCGTGCTGACACTGGTACCGAGCTTGGTGTAATCACGGATAACATCTTTACCACAATTCTCTTTATCATACCGTGACTGACCGAGCACAAAGATAAATGTGACTTTTTTATTACACCCATTCTTACACCAAATGTGAACAACCTTAAATCTCATAAACTGAACAAATAATAATAGTATCACAATTGTGTCTGGAGTCATCAATTCTGTGTTTCCTGTTTATATGTAATTTGGATGACGTCATCGATACTGGTACATGCTTGTACGCACATAAATTGCGGTTAGAGCTGCAGGCAATACGAAGAAACCTAAACACTTTAAACATCCTTGCATGACACTTATACACACTACACTAACCTTCAACACCGTGTCTTTAGGTTTGACAACCATTGGAACACTGTGGCCATCTGAGGTGACAAGAGCATTTGGTATGGCATGTCCATATTTGTTCATTCCAGATCAGATTTCAACTCAGTATAATGTTTGCCCAGCTTCATTAATTATCGTTTTTTTAATGTGAAGATGGCAAAGCGATGAATTGGTGTTTTCACAGCTCCTCTAGAAATACTGTCTGAGACGGTGTTTTTTTTATATATAAAATCAAGGACAGGGTGTTCGATTTGTTTAATTTGTTATAAAATGTACGTTAATTCATGGTTATTATATTATATTTTATTTTCCGGTATTAAACCAAGAAAGCTAAAATATGAATTAAATTATACTTACAGCGGGCGCAAACACGATTCGTACGGGTAGTTATCAAACTCCCTAGAAATAGGCGAGCGGTGGATACCAAAGTAAGGCATTATTTTTCGAGTTTAATACACCCCTCATACACACACAACATATATCATTTTAAAGCTAATTTTATCAGCTTTCAGAAAAGTCCTGTTGTGGTTTTGAAATATGGTACCGTTTTCCAGAAAACGGGTTAACTAACCCCATGTCACTTCACATTTTAAGTTAAATGATGTTGGTAAAAATCTCTTTTCTACTAGTAAAATGCTGTAAATCGTCTGATTTGATGTGATTTATGTGATTAGATTTTTGAAATAATCTATTATAGTGAATAAAGTGACAACTACAGTGACAAATAAATAACAATTTGCATATATTTGCATAAATTAAATATGGCTGATATAGGCTGTAACGGTTCCTATATGCATACAATAATGACAAGCGCAATTTTACAAAGGTAGAAAAAAGTTGCGTGGACATTATGTAGTTATGAAAACAAAACTCAATACTGATTGTTGAATAAAAAATTGGTTGTATAGCTTTAGTTAGTAAAGTACAATCGCATCACAATTGTATGAAAATAATTCACTTATATCACGCATTTTAAAATTAAACTAATTTGTAAATCTGTGTTTTTCGTGAAACGAAGTAACAAATGAGTTTATAACACAAATTATAGCCTAGCATAAACAGTGTGACATGTCTCATACTTATTTATACATGCGATCATTCAATACAGTGAAACAGCATATACTGTAGTACACTACGTGTGTCATGAATAAAAGATCTTCTGATATGTCTCCTTGGATTTCACTCCCCCATATTTAACCCCAGCTTGTGTTTCCCCCAAGTCACAGACTAGAAAGATATAATGACAACTATACATCAAAACCGTTGAGATCAAACACATTATGCTCGCTTCAATATGGTGAAATTATATATACAATTGACTCAAGCATCTGTAATGTCATCATCTGAGTCACCATCGTCAGCTATCACATTTCCATATCTATCACTAGCATTGCATTGACACGGTTCTGTACAGGCTAGACCACTTTGTGTACAGGTACACTCTTCTACACATGTGCTTCTCGTCTTGGAACACGAGCATAGCAGATCATCTATAATCTCTGCTGCAGATGGGCCCATTAAAAATATGGGTAAAATGCATCTAGTTTCTTTATTCATCTGCCATCCATGTCCAACAGGAGATACAACATCTGGTTTGGCAATGTGTGGTGACACCCACACCCTGGTTTGCCATGATGCCAATAAAACATGCTGCTCAACGCTAGGCTTGCTTGGTGGTAGTTTGTTGAGTGACTTTTCTTTCCTTTGGGTCATTCTTGCTCTCATTTTACTAAGGTTTGTTTGATTCTGACGGGATTTTGTATCATACAAATGCATCACCAACTTCTCTACAGCTGCATAACCTGCATTATTATTGTCTTTACCAATAAGATCTAAATCGGAATAGCAATCAGATCCTTTGTCTTCAATCAATTTAATGACCTTCTTCTCCCCAATCCCAAAAAAGAAGATACTGAATCACATCCAATTAAACAATGAACAGCTTGGGGAATCTTGCAGAATGTGTCCAGTCGCATCCAAACCTGAGAGGTGCTCTTCATCTGAATGAAATAATGTACCAGTAGAACCATTACATCTGTATCGGACGCCTGCACTACAATATTTCCCATTACTTTGTTTCTTTGGAAAACTGAATCAGCATGCATAGCATGCAACAGCATCCTAGTGACTGGAAAAAAAGGTGAAATGCATCTTGTATGCCTTTGGCATTCAAACATTTGGTGACAGTGCCATCAGTAAAACCTCCAGCCAGATATATGGTGTGTTGCGAATTCTGATTAAGATGATTTAATGACATATTTACAACATACCGAGACAAGAAGGCTGCAAGTGCTGCTTTATTACTTGAACTGTTTAGAAATTTCCTCCATGGTGGCACTGCTCGTAAACCGATGACTTGATACTGCCTTCCCCCTGGTTGAAGTGCTTGTCGTCTATCACATTCTCCTTGTTTAACTGATTTTGGGTTGTCATATCCATCATATTCCTCAACAACAGTGTTTGCCCCTGAGAAACATTGTATCATTCCATGGAGGTACACCTTCGCCAGGTCGTCAAATGTTTTGAATTTATTACCATTCATAGGCTGTATAATTGCCATTGCATCTCTTATCTACACAGTATCCCAAGCAGGCAGTTGTGGCAGGCTAACTACACTCTTCACATTATCCTCTAGCTTATGAGCCAGATCATCCTTTCTCGTTTTGCGCATCTGACCATCTTCATGGAATAGTGAAGTTGGTATTGCTGTTATTGGGTATTGTAGAAGAAAGTCCATGGTTAGCTCCTGTGTCTTTGCTATGATCAAAGATCTACGGAATATCAACTCTGAATTCATCTTGACATATATATTTTTTTCCTTTGCAGGAGGTCTTTGTCATTTTGGTCATATCAAAGAATGTGAGAAGGCCAGATCTTGGGATGGCATCACATATTGTTTTCTTGGATGACAGTGATGGTTGGATAAATGTTGCACTTTGTTATTGGCATTTAGTAAGGATGCTTGTACATCAGCACTTGCACACAGTCCTGTGGCTATATTGATGAGGACATCCTGGGGATGGTTATCTACCTCTAATGGGCTTGTCATACCGTCAGATATGTGGACAATCAATGTCTGAATATGCTGTTCATCACGTTTCATGGCAGCAGGGTATTGTTGCTTGTGAGCATGTGAGTCATTTGCTTTTAATCCACTACGTTCCTTCATGGAGTTGTCATAAGCACTTAGCAAGTGACGAGTCAGGTTCCAATGAACCAAAGCAGGCTTCCTTCTGGTGAGTCCAATTATTCCACTGTCCATTTCGAATAGTTAACTCTGTCATAAACAAAGAAAATATGGCAGCATAAAATATATACTTTGTAGGTGCATGGACCAATCACCTTCTCTTTCAGCTCGTATGTTCATCAACAATGTCGACACTGCATGAAGAAACATTACCCAGAACTTGAAGGTAGGAGATTGTGTAGAGCCCCATTCTTCATACCTTTTCAAATTTGGAAGCACATGTTTTGATACAACATTCTCCAAGTCAGTTGGACAGTAGTATTGTATGATGGAAAAGACAAGGTTCTGCCCATTTAACCTGTTGAGCTATGGCAAAGAGTTGCTGATCCATGGTTTGAACTGTTACTTCTTGTCCCAGGTGGTTAGTCATTTCTTTGCATTTGACCATGGTTGTAAACACTGTAGCCATATCTGCTGGCTTGGCGTCTACTATTGGTGCGTATACCACTGCTGTGTAAGTATCACTGGTCTTTGATAGCTGTGTATTGTATCCAGTCCAGAATGGGATTTCCTGGGTCATGGAGCATCAGAATATAAAGGCAATACTCCTCGTGTCATCATCCTCAGAAATACTCATGAAATATCATGAACAGCAATGTTCTCTTTTTCTGAAATTATAGAAAATGTTGGTTTTTAATTCGGCAATACTCTGTATCCATGATATTAATTTTACAATTACACAGATAATGTGTTAATAATCAACCTACCATTACTAGACATGATTTCAGCACTTCCAAAGG